CCAAAACGGAGTGAATGTTGAGCCCCCCCCCCCGCCCCCCGTTCCCTCCTCGTTGACGACGTGTGCTGTCGTCTCCGTCTGATTCTGTCTTGTTTCGCAAACAACAATGCATTTTTTGCAACAATTTCAAGGCTATCCGAAAGGCTAGGCAACGAAGACGGCCGGGGGCCATCGTTTACGGGGACCAAGAGGTAAGCTACAACTACCCTGAGGAGACAGACCAGCCACCCTCAGAACCATGTAAATACCCAGGTCATCACTTGTTGTGGTTTTGTTGTCCCTACATAATGTACCATTCTGGTTCCGCCATGGGTGATTCTCAATGGAATCGACACCGACGAATACGCTTGGCTCGGAACGACACCACGCTCCAACATCCGCACCAGTCCAAATGACGAGGTCACAGGCTTGATGCCCAGTTCGAAATATGCGGTATTTTTGTCCCCCGGGAGATGTCCACGAACCCCGTTGCCGAAGAATGCTCATCGTTTTCCTTGTGCCACACTCAGCGTCCACATTCGCCTCTGCCGTTTTTCCCCCTCTTTCATTGTATGCATAGACGTATATGAACGTGAAGGCTCTGACTGATCAGAGGACAGCGGGCGATTCCTTGGAGAGAGATTTTCAGGACTTCGCTATAGACGAAGACACTACCTCCGACAAGTGATTCATTGAGAATTCCCACGAGGGGGAGGGGTAGGGGTGCACATGGCGTGCCCCCCTGTTTCACGCCTCGGCATACGGTTTTGCGCGAGATGGAGGCTTAACATCGCGCGAGTCGAGATTCATACGAGTGCGAAGAGCGCGTTAACCCGTTCCCTCCATCGCTGCTCGGTCGCTTGGTTTGCTCTTGAGGGGAAGTCGTGGAGAGTTGACCGGGGGCAGAGGGCAAGAGCAGTTACGAGACTGCGGTATTTCAGAGATTGGTTCGCTTGTGGCGTGTCGAATCCCAACCCTTGTAATAGTTTCCGCCTTCTCACTTCTCCTGCGTTGACGGCATGCAGCCCGTGACCGAAAGCTTGTGTCCCGATGCCCGCGCTGTTGTGTGATGTAAGGCTGGATAGCGTTCGGTGCCAGGAACGTGCACACACAGGCAGGGTTGCCGTGTTCGTTTCCGTCGAAGAAGACATGCTATGTTGACAGTTCCCCGCTTCTGGGAGCATTGGCTGTGCACGACAAGAAATAGTCGGAGGTGATATAGTCCGTCCGGGACATTTAATCCACTTCTTGTTTTGTGCGATAACTTTTGTAAAAAAAAGAGTTGGGACATGAAACAACGATGTTCGTGATCGCCTCGTCGAGCTACGTCGATAGCTGCAGAGTTTTCTTCATCTTTTTGAAAATTTGTTTTGTTTGGTCAAAATGACCCACGGAACCCCCTATTCATACCACGGAACCCCCAAGTATTTCCACGGAACCCTCCAAATCATACCACGGAAACTCCCAGAGCTTTCAGCTCTGCACCATTTGTAACTGCTTTATGTACACTCGTGTGCATATGATATGCATATCAAATACCATAAATGTATCCTATTGCATTCTTCACGGGCATTGTCATCCTCATCAACATCCATGGGAGAAACATTGGACTCATGGCCAGAACCGACGAGTTGTGCTGGTGGTGCTGTTGCCTGAGCACGTGGCGTGATGGTTCCATCCGCGTTCCGCGCCGTCTTTGTTCTTCGTTTCTTGCGTCGCGGCATGTGTGGGGCTTGTGTGTGACCGTGTGGCCACTTGTGCGCTGCTTTGTTGAGTAGTGAATGTCTGGTGTGTGTGTGGGTGCGAGAGCTGTTCGTCTCTCACAGCGGCACGCACGCGACAGAATATCTCATGAAATTTCGTTTTTAGGAAAGATCGGGAAAAAGCGACACCTGCGGAATTTCGAGAGGAATTGTTTGCCGCACTTCATGTTAAATTCGTGTATTTGGTTCTCGCCGATTGCGAACAAAATGCCATTCCAGAATCGGTTAATGGGCCATAACTTAGTCGTTTCTTGATATGTTCTTTTTGGAAAGAGGCGACATCTGGGAAATTCGACGAGCTGTTAAAATCCGGACTCAGATTTGTTCGCTGAAAAGAAGACCCTCCAACAAAAAAAGAAAATCGAACTTTAGATTTCTGCGGCTGGAGACAGGGCTTTTCACGGTGTTTTCGAATTTCGGAACAATCACCCCACCCCGAGACAAGTGCACCTAAGTGCAGGGGGGCAAAGTGGATCGGAAGTCCCGGACGGACCATAACCGACAAAGGTTTTGCTTTCGCGGTGGAATCAAGAGCGGCCGGCGTGTCTTGGCAACCGCTCTAGATGGCTGGGTTACGTTTGCACAAGAGGGAAAGCGGAAAAGTTTGCTTGATGCACCATCGCCACCCACATGCAGCCGGCGCACCACACGCTGTCGCGGACATCCGAAACATGGCAATTTTTGTTTAGCGAGTTGAGTGAGGCGTCGAGGACACCTCGTACACAACGAGGAACACTCTCGGCGCACTGAGTTCCGACATCAACCTCGAGTCAGCCAAGAGCTTCCAAGAGCAACCTCGACCAACTCGTTTCACACTTGCGTCCATGTGTTTTGATCTTATTGAAACCACCACCAAAAAACGCACTCCTGAACAGTCCGCCGCTCTCAACAGCAGGGTCAGCGCAAGCACGTTTCTGTCGACGAGTTGCCGATTCGCACCTGCGCGACTTCACGCGCCCAATACACAAACTTCGTCTTGGATATTTTGAAAATAGGTCCAAACACGCAGTACTTCCCAAACCCAACCAACTCCCACGACACACCGCTTTTACCTACTGAAGTATAAAATTCGTCTCAGCGCGATGGCTATTTCGATGATCGAGCGCCTCTTTCGGAATCGCTCGATCGCACGACGCAAAATCTGCAACTCAGCACTCTCCCTTCCCCCCCCCCCGCCCCTAATATCGCAAGCCCCAACCTGGGAAATTATCACCCAGGATACGCTTCCTGCGTCAACGTGCTGCTTTGGCTTTCGGCACTCGAGAGTTGGAGTGTGACTTGACTTCCGACGTGCAAAAAACAGGAAACAAACAACACCGTCCATTACAATACACGCGCGTTTCGAAGAAGGCCACTCTTCACAAAAGGTGCTGGCGCTTGCCGCTGTAGGGGCAGCGGAGGGGATAGATAGGTCGGGGCGAGGGGATTTCCTCTACCGCAGGCGATACTCTTGTGTGGCGTGCAACGACATGACGGATCCCTGGTGATCCAATCTCAACGCGATGTCCAAANGGGGGGGGGGGGGGGGGGGGGGGGGGGGGGGGGGGGGGGGGGGGGGGGGGGGGGGGTCACCGATTGGGGAGCACCCACGGGTTGGATTGGAGTGTGGGGTCAAGACGATATCTCGTTCACATCGAAACTAACTGCTTGCGTGAGGAAAACGGGGCGGTGGAATACGGGACAATGCTGCTACAAGCGCGCGAAGCTGTGCATCTTTCGCCACCCTACATCGTACACACTCGACGAGGATATACAACAGACCTACATGCTGCGCGAGCACAAACGCCTGCTTCAAGCGTTCGGACGTTGGGCGGAGCTGCGGCGGGCGGCTCTCTGGGCCTACCGCAGGCTATGACAGGTGCCCTTGTGTCCCATCCGCGGCCCTCCTTGCGATGCCGGATCTCGCAGGCACGGCTCCCTCACCTTGTCGTTCGGCTTGACCGTGATCTTGCCCTTGATCGACTCCCCCTTGCAGATGGTCAGCGGCTGTCTGAGGTAGAAGACCGTCTGCTTCCAGTGGGTGTACTCGGTGAACGGCCCGGTGGAGAATCGGACCGGCTTGTGCAACTGGGGCGAGAAAACGGAAACATGTAGATACAACGACCAGAAAGGCGACGAGTTACGCTCGGCAAGTACTGTCGTACCGGAGCAGGCTTCAATTAGCGGTAGGTTTGGAGTGTTGAAGATGGGGAAGGAAATGCGCAGCAACAAGTTCTTCGGTAGGTGGGGGGGTGGGGGGCACAAGACTGTTGGCACTTCGGAGCGTAGATAGGAAAGGTGGGATCACACACACTCTTCTTCGAGACGGCGGTGCCGGATTCGCTTGGCAAACATACAACAACCAAAATCCAAATCTTCGAGATATCTCCCCCCTGTGCCCCCTCCCTCCCTCCCACGCTGCTCGCAAGTAAAACAGGGCCACTCTCAGGAGGCTTGTACGCCTCAGTATTGTGGATCGGCGAGTGTAGCAAGCAAGCCTCACGCGGATGACTGCATCACTCACGCGCCTCGGCAGCTTGTACGGTCAGACCAACACCAACATTGTTGATCCTTTCGGCGGCGAATCACCGGCAGGAACGTGCGTTTTGCCCGTCCCGCCTGCCACTTCCACATACAAAACTTCCCTCTCCCTCTCGACCTACCTGACTGAATTGACAATCGAAGTACGCCACGATCGCGTGAACGAAGTCGTTACGGTGCGCCGTCAGCACAAACTCTGACTTGAACTGCAGCTCCTCCTTCTTGCAGTCCGACAGATCTAACGACAGAATCGCCTGGCAATCCGTCGCTACCGCCTGCGGGACAGCGGCGAGCGTGTGGTTGATAGGCGGCGGGGGGTGTACTTATGCAAGCGCATGCCGTAGTCATTATACCATTGACCTTGCATCCCTACAGTGCTGGGACGGAGCGATGTGCCGGGTTTTCACCGGCCCAGGCTACTTTTGAAAGGACGAACGTTCTTGTTCCAAACCAGATTGGGCATCCTCCGCTACCCAAACCTTTCAAATTCGGCAGGTACGGCTGTTGATGGGGGGGGGGGGGGGG